GCGTGTAAAATGGGAGTGTGCAAGAACGGGGAGGCAGTAGCTTCTCATGAGTACTGGACAGAAGAGTTCTGCAGGGGTGCGGGGTGCGGGTGCACTGTGAACAGCCTGTACACAGCACACCCGAGTTTCAGGACAGCTCCCACGGTAGCTTCCGTCACCTGCCACCTGCTCGGGAGAGATCTATCGGTGTCTGGTCAAGGCTGCCCGCACCGGAGGGGGCGACACAGCAGGCGTCACTCAAAGGGAGCCCTGAGGGCAGCAAGCGGATCCAGGCATCCAGGCGAGGGTTAGGCCTCCAGATGCAGCCCCCAGGCTCAGCCCTGGGCTTGGAGGAGGACCGAGCAGCTCTCCGAAGCCTCCTCCGCCTGCGGACAGCAGCCTCAGGGCAGCACGTGGCCAGGGCGCAGTCCCCTCAGTCTCTCCTTCTAGGAGGTCGAACATCTTACGAAAACAGCCCAGTTTCCCTGGAGAGCCCCATGCACTCTGCTATGAGCTCTTAACCGAAATTTAAAGTTTGAAGAGTTACCCTGGCTTGGACCTTGGGCGTGCTGAGGCAGGAGAGTGGCGAAGTCCACGTGGGGAGATCTGTCTCCAAAGGACAGAACGCAGAACGCCCAGGCTTTCAGCCGAAGCTGACGCTCAGTAATAAACGGCAGAATGGAAGAGGGAAATGGTAATCTTGCTGTACCCAAGGAAATGAAGAGGCGGCGCCTTCTGGAAAGCATGAGGTCCTGAGTTCAATTCCTAGTAGCAAGAAGGAAAGAAATAAGCAGAAATCCTGGGAAACACCAATAGCTGTCTCAAAGGAAGCAGGAGAGCTTGGCCCCATGGAGACAGCAAGGGCACCCGCAGAGCAACAGGAGAAACAGAACTAGGATGAAAATATGGAGACCCGAGAATTACAGCCGGGGTGGGACCTGGGCCAGACCGGGGCCACCTTCTCCCACAGGCACAAAAACTCTCCGTCCACTTCATAGCTGAGGTCAGCACCGATCCTCCAGCAGTCACAGGCTGGAGCCTTTGGAACCCTGCGTGACTGTGACTGTGTCTGTAACTGTAACAGAGATGGCTCTCAGGAAGTGGAGGAAAGGAGAACACAGGGTCCGAATCCGGCAGGCCTGGGAGCCTTGTAAGGCAGAGAACATTACACAAGCAGCGCCAGGAAAGGCCCTGCGAGCCAGGCAGGCCGGACGCTGAGCCCAGGCTCCCAGGCTCCCAGGCTCCCAGGCTCCAGGACTGGGAGGAGAAAAAGGTTTGCATCCGAGCTACTTGTTACAGCAGCTGGACTGACAGAAACAGCCTTCTCTCCATTACTCCCCCATATAGGGACAGAAGGATGACCTTTCTGCAAAAAGAACTAAAAGTTTTCTTACCACCACCCAAAGAAAAGAATTATCACTAAAAACAAGGGAGTCCCTTAGTCACTGAGAGGTTTCATCAGTTTTGATAATTTTTTCATAACTATGGAAAAACTGCCAATAGCACAGATCTAGAAAAACTCTTCAACCAAAAAAAAAAAAAAAAAAAAGAGAGAGATTAAAACAAACAGAAAGTCAGTAGAACCAGAAACAAAATACAGGAAACAGAACATTTCAAAGAAACTATAATTAACATGCTGAACCCATGAAAAAGGGGCAACGTGCTGTAATACAGAAAAACACAAGAGCTCCTTTAAAAAAAAAAAATTAAACTGACTGGGCATGGTGGTGCATGCCTGTCATCTCAGAACTCAGGAGGCTGAGGTAGGGGGACTGATGGAATTCAAGGCCAGCCCAGGTTTCAAAGTGAGTTCAAGGCCAACCTGAACTGCAGAGCGAGACCCTGTCTCGAAAGGCAAAACAAAACGAACAGCTGAAATTCTCAAATCCAGAGAAAAGACTGCAACTTCCCAGACAGTGTGTTAAAGATCAGACTCCTCCACACCAACACTGAAAGCCAGGCAGCCATGAACAGTGTGTTCCAACATATGAGGGAAGGCAATCTCCAACACGGAGATCTCGCACGGCAGAGAAGTAAAGGTGAGTAAACTGGAACCCCAGCAGGCGCTGCCTCAGCCCGCTTCAGGGCGCCACCAGCACAGGACCGCTCGGGAGCCTCCACCAGAAGAAGGAAGCCACGGGCCCAGAGAAAGGGACTCAGCAGAAGTGAACTTTCCAGACTCTCAGTGAGCAAAGAAAGCCCCAAGGTGACAGCCAGGGAGCAGCCAGAGAGGAAGCAGGCCAGACCCGGCAGGAAGGACAGCGACAGAGGGACATGGGGGGAACAAATGGGATGGCTAAGCTTATCTGACAGGTCTGCCCAGGCAGAAAATTGTACGGAGAAGCACTTTATGGAGCCGCTGGAGGGTACAGAAGCCCAGCCCAGCCCGGCCCGGCCCGAGCAGAGCAGCCAGATGAAATGTGTGAGGCACGCGCTACAAAAGGGGACACGAACACCTGAACGTGGTTAGCGACTTCTGTGGCAACCAAACCGTAACTTAACCTGAAATTGTGAACCCTACAGAGACGGAAGAAAGCAAAACTGAAGACTCTTCAAGCACTCATCCCTTCAAAATCACTGCCATTTGCATATCTCAAATTACTCAACGCTAAGAAAAGCTTCTATTTTCATTAAATTCTATAACTATACTTTTAAGGGGAAAACTCAGGGAAATGGTCTAAGTTTGGTTTTGGAATACTTTACAGAAGTTTTCCAGAGGTCCTTGAAAGGCAAAAATAAAGCAAAACATTACAAAAATTAAAAGGTCTATACAAATTGTCTGGGTTACTGGAATCACTGGAGGTGTGACCATCTGCTAAGTTCTGTTGATCACCATTAACACACTAAACACTGGATCCTTCCGGTGCAGGCATGTTCACTATCTAGATTTTTCAACTCGACCATTACCTCTATGGGTATTTCCCAGTTTTAAAATTATAAAAGGTTCTGTATTTTTCTTTTTATAGAAAGCCAACTTGCTGGATGTGGCAGTGCACACTTGTAATCCCAGTATTCAGGAGGCTGAGGCAGAAGATGATTCTGAGTTTGAGGCCAGCCTAGGCCACATAGCAGAAATCCCACCTCAAAAACACAAAACAAAACAAAAGCCAGCTTCAGTACTATGCTCCCCAGCCATGGAGATTTTAGGTGCAAAAGACACTGATCCCCATATTTAATCAGCCCTGACTACCACACTTGTGTGATTCTCTTGTTCATCCCTCCTACCTTTCAAATTTACTGTCAATGATCCTTCCTCCATCAGGATTCACCCATCTTTTAATCTGTTATGCAGTCAAAAATTAGTAACCATGTTTCAGACTCAACATTTGTTAAATACTCTGCCTGGTGGCCCTTTTACATACAGAATACTTCCTGTCAGAATGACAGCCAAAGTAAAAGTAAAGCAGTTCTGACTAAGGACTTTTTTTTCTTTTTTGTCTTTTTATCAGTACTGGGGATCGAACTCATGACTGCCTGCTTGCAAGGCAGGTGCTTATGCTGCTGAGCTAAATCCCCAGCCCCGACTAAGGACTTTTAAAAATGCTAAATAAATGTAGGAATGAAACTTCTTAATAAAATTGGCTACTGGAATCACTAGTTCTTCTGAAGGCTGTGTAGGCTGGTGGTGTTTTGTTGAAAGTCTATTTTCCTTGTTTAAATGTCTTTAGAGCTAACTTCTGGCTCTGATTCAGATTATTCAACCAATGAACTATGAATAATTGAAGGGTTACTGAACTATGTAGAGCCAGCCCAGGGCAACGCGAAAAAGTTATATACCTGAAGCAACAGACGCTTGGTCGTCCATGCGCAAAGATTTTTACAGAGAAATGAACATTATACTTCAAATCAGGACTCCTATATTTGCAATTATATATCTAATTAAGACACATAAACAATCTCACTATCTTAATACCACCATTTCTTAAGTAGTTACAACCTCAATCCAGTTAAATCCGAACTTTAGAAGGATTTAACTACTATTTCCAAGAGGAAGAGACCTCCACCATTAAATTATCATCAAGATATTGAAAAGAAGTCTTTTTGTAGGGTGGGGGGTACCGGAAATCAAACTCATGAACTCGAGCTTGCTAGGCAGGTGCTGTGACGCAGAGCTATATCCCCAGCCAAGCAACCTTTTTTTTTTTTCTTGGATACTCTGTTTTTTGGCACTTCTGCCCAAAAACGACCTTACAGAAGCATTAACATCTTTACTCACTCCAGAAGTTCTTACAGGTATACTCACTTCCTCGGAGAACTTACACAAAGCAAATGCGCAATTCACAGCTGCAATCGGATCCATTTCCAGGCACTTACGACTTAAATTTTGTATCTGGCCATTAAAAACGAATATACTTCCACACACAGGCCACCTACAACTCCTCAGCGCGAGGAGCACAAACTCCATCTCCAAAAGCCCCTCCTCGGACCAGCGCTCTCCAAGCCGGAGATCTTTACACACTTGCACATGGCTTGGACGTCAGAGCTTCGCTGCGGGCAAAAACCTCAAAGGAAAAGTAACACTGTTGCCCCCACTCCTGTGGGGCGCTAGCGTATTTACGAGGAATAAATCACCCTCCTCCAAACATAAGTTTTCACCATATAAGCGGCCTTTAGAGCAGCAATAGCATTTTATTGCTTTCCAAATGATGATGATACAACAAAGCAGAAAGACCACTTCACAGCGCCGTGCAGCACTCTGCACTCACAGAGAGGATCACCGTGCGCTCCCAGCAGGGCTCACAGGAGGATGCTCCGAGACTCCACGATGCGCTCCTGTCAGGTCACCAACGACTCAGGACGCAAACACTCGGAAAACACCGCAGGACTGGGCCGCACTTAAAACCGAAAGCGCCGTCACACCCGCCGGGTTCCGACCGGGGCAGCGGGCGCGAGGCTCGGTTCCGTCCTCCGCCGGGGACGCCGACCGCCGAGGACCTCGGGCCCCGCGCGCTCCGCTCCCGCTTCCTGCCCGGCCCCCCGCCCCGCCCCGCCCGGCCCGGCCCGGCCCGGCCGGCACCCACCTCGCGGCGGCGTCGTTGGCGGCGGCCCGCCCTCCCCGTTCTCCGTGCGCGCGGCCCCGCCGAGCCCGTGGCGCCGCCGCTCCCTCGCCCGCTTCTCCTTGGGTCTGCGCGCCGCGGGCCCGGCCGAGGGCGCCGGCGGGCTCGGGTTCGGGTTCGGGTTCGGGTTCTGGGCCGGCAGGCGCGGGGGCACGGCGGGCAGCGGCGGGCCGGGCACGAGCAACGAGGCGCCGGCGGGGAGCGCGAAGCAGCTGCGGGCGGCGGCGGCGGGCGGCGCGGCCAGGCTCCAGGGCGGAGGGGCCGGCGCCTGCCGCCCGCCCCCGTCCCCGTTCACGCGCCGCGGCGCCTTCTTCTCCTCCATCCGGACCTTCTTGGCGGACAGAGAGGCCAGCGGGTCCCGGGAGGACGACTGCGGCCTGCCGAAGGGCTCCTTCTCCGGGACAGCCGGGGCGGCGACGGCGCCGCGCACTGGGCTCAGCGGCTCCGCCATTTTGCGCTCCTGTTGTATTTACTCTGCTCGGCTCCCGGCGCGGGGCGGGGGCGGAGCCGTCGAGGCCACCGGCCCGGCCCTGCATTGGACGAGCCGCGCAGAGGGACGCACGGAACAACCAGTCAGAAACGCGATGTAAAGTCGGAGGGCGGGACTGCTGAGCCGACTTGCGCTGGAGGTCAGCGCTCCGCGGGCGCGGCGGCCGCGGGCACCGGCCCCGGAAGGTCTGTTGCAGTCGCCGGCGGGCGCTCGGGGAGAACCTGAGCCCCAGCCGCCCGACGAGGTAGCCGAAGCCACTGGACTGAGAAGAGCAGACAGAACTGCTGCGATCGGAAACCAGGGCTTCGAGGACAGCGATCTGCTAGCCTGGAACTTGAGGTCGCTTCCCCGGCGCGACTGTGAGACGCCGGCCGGAGAGCTTTCAAGGAAGGGGCTGTGCTGTGTCTGCGACCTTCGCTGAGTCTTAACTTCCCGGGGAAAGGCCTCAGCGACGCTTATAGGTGTTTGCAGAGCAAGCGATTTTTAAAATTTCGGTGTGGTGTAGGTTTTAGGGGGGTAGTGTTATTTTGTTTCGTTTTTTTGTACGAGCGATCGAACCCAGGCAGACGCTGTGTGCTTTTAAGAAAGTTGGGTTTTGGCTTCTGCTGTGTGGTGCACCTTGTGAGCTGCGGTTCCATCCTTAGCTGACACGAGGAGAAGGAGGATTCAAGAACCTGGGTTTAACAACTCAGCGATCGCACGTGCAATCGGAAAGGCCGAGGGAGGTAAAAATCATAGTGGTCAGTTCAGGAGGTTACCACCGCTGCGGGAATTTTAAGGCTCCAAAGAGGAACTCGAAAGTGGCTGTTACTTTCTGGAAACATTTAGAAGTAACCTTTCAGGAGGTACTCACACCTGTGATCTCAAGAAGTTGGAAATGTTTATTTTGTTTCACTTTTGTCTTTGTTTTCTTTTACAGTGCTTTGGGAGTGGAGTCAAAATTTGACATTGGTCAGACACAGTGGCACACACGGGTAATCAAAGCACTCTGGAAGCTGAAGCAGGAAGATCACTGAGTTTGAGGCCAGCCTGGGCTATATAAGCGAGTTCAAGGCCAGTCTGCACTACATAGTGAGACGCTGTCTCAAAAAAAAAAAAAAAAAAATTGACATTGTCTTATAGATATAGTATTTATTTTTAAGTGACTCAGGCATTATTTATTTATTTATTGGTGTTTTTGAGACAGGGTCTCACCATGTAGTTCAGGCCACCCTCCAACTCGAGGCAGTCCTGCTGAGCCTCCCACACCCAGCTGCCTTGTCATCTCACTTGGGGTCTGGAAGGAGCCTTTCTCTTGATACTTACACACCTTCCTCTTCTCTGACACTATTAAGTAGCAGAGACCCTCAAGTGTCAACTCCAGAGTGGTTTCTGTCCCTCACATTCTTTTTCCCGTCCAGTCTCATAAACACGTGGGCTTCACCAAATAGTCTCTGTGTCCTCGGTGTTGGGTTTACATCTCTGGCCCTGACTGAGGTAAAGTCAGAGGAAGAAATAAAAGATGGATAGAGAAAGGATAAGGAAGTCTTAACTACAAGAGACAAGATGTCTCTTTAGAAGACTGCAGCGCAGGCCCAGGGGAGCCCCGGAGGCTGTGTATGTCTGTGTCTGCCCCGCCTTTCAGTCCCTCTCCTCCCAGCCCTTTGACCCTGCAGTCAGTGGCTGGCTGTGCTGACCAGAAAGGACCTGTGACTGGGTCGGAAAAGCTCTTGTTCACAGTGCTCTGAAGTCGAGATGTGCCTCAGCTGTGGCAGCAACCCCTATTCTAGAATAAAGCCGCCAACCTGAGAGAGCAAATGATTCTCCTAGTTGGCAAATTTACTGCCTGAAGAAGTCTTTGAATTGACTTCCCAAGGTCCCGCTCAGTTCCTACCTTGCCTCAGTAGCCCCTTCCCCGGTGTGAAACCAAATAAACGAGCTGTCCAGTGGAGCGCTAAACCATACTACTTGTCTTTTTTATGTAAGCTGCTCATCGTACTCTCCATTTTAGGAGCTCGGGGGCCTGATCAATCCTGGGAACCCAGACAGCGTTTCAGTGACCATTTCCCAGTGGCCACACTGCAGACAGGGCTGGCGCAGGGCTCCCACCCTGCGGGAAGCAGAGATGCTCTGCTTCCAGACCCCACACTGCCTGGCTTCCCAGGACCGCACCCCATCCCAAGTGCACCTGAGCGCCCACCAAAGCCTTCCCTCGCCCCTCCTGAGGAGCCCGAGACTCCTGGGCGGAGTCAGTGAGTCTGCTGCACGCTGGTTACCCTTCTCACTGTGGCTTCTTTGGGCTCCCCAGCCCCAGCCTGGGACACCACTGCCCGCGTCTGTGTCCTGGCGCTCTGACAGCCAGGGTCTCCCACAAATGTCACGAGGCAAACTTGGCCAGCACTGGTTCACCCTGTGGGCCCTGCAGATCACCTTCCTCTTCTGATCCCCAAAAGGGCACCTTTCCGGGGGCACCCTGTGTCCCAACTTCCCTGCCAAGCAGGCACAGTGGGCACAGTGCCTGCAGGGGACGGGCCTGCTGCCCTTTTCCTGAAGCATGGAGAAGCGCACTCATCAAGACTGGGTTCCTCTCCCCATGCATTTCATGTAATTCAGGGAAACTGAATTCTCACTTCTGAATAAGTAACAGCATCTTAGAAGTACAGCCTCATCACCTCTACCCCAGGCCTCTTCCCAGCTGGAAGACGTATCTAAGTTTAGAAGGCAAGAAAATAACACAAATCAAGTTGAAAGGCATCAAGGAGCCAAGCATGGTGGGGCACACCTGTCATCCCAGCACACAAGAGGCTGAGGCAGGAGGATCCCCTCCAGTTCAAGGTCAGCCTGGGCCACATAGATCTTTCCCAAAAAACAGAAGTGGGGAGAGGTGTTGTCGGCCAATGCTTACAGGTCACCTGTAGTAGTGGCCTCAGAAGATTGGAAAGGAACAGAGCAGATAGTGGAAACAACTTCACATGCCCCTTGTGGGGGTGCATCTGCTCTCAAACTTCTAGGGACAAAGTCTCACAGTAGAGTCCAGGCTGGCCTTGAATTCCCAGCAGTCCTCCTGCCTCAGCCTCCAGAGTGCTAGGATGACAGGTGAGCATCAGCATGCCAGCCTCAGACTGCTCTGGTAACGACAGGCTAGGAAGGCTGGCACAGGCGCGATGGCGGCCTCATGTAGGGACAGAGCCTCTGGAAGGAATGCGGCCACCTCGGGGAAGAGGAGTGAGGAGCCCAGGAAGAGGCCCAGGTGCCAGAGCAGGAAGAGCACAGAGCCGCCTGCATCCCGCAGCGCCCTTCCCCAAGGCCAAGCAGAGCAAGTGGCCGCCTGCTTCATCCAGCTTCCAGAAGTTTCCGGACAGAGCTGGGATTCTGTGTTCATTCGGACTGCACGGCCCCCATGCTGCAGGAGGAAGCCATGTCTCTGACAAAGCAGCAGGGCTTTCAGGTCACGGTGCTCAAAATGTCTGGAACATTCACTTAATTGTCACCCTCAGAGCAGGGCACGGTGGGGCACGCCTGTCATCCCAGCACTCGGGAGGCTGAAGCAGGAGGATTGTTGCGAGTTCAAGACCAGCCTGGGCTACAAAGGGAGCTCAAGGCTGACCTGAACTGCATAGCGAGACCCTGTCTCAAAGAAGAAGAAAAGTGTCACCATCACAAGGCTTGGTGATGCAGAACCAGGGATTCACTCTGGTCAAGGACACACCTAGCTGGAGGAAGGGACAGACAGATGCTAACTGGGAGGGCCAAGCTGGGAGAGCTCTGTCACTCAGCTGTGACCCACAGAAGCTGTCCTTAGAGATTGGTGTGGGGAGAGAGAATGACCTGGGAGAAGACTGCAGTCCCTTGCAGGCACTTCACTGGCCAGCAAAGCCCAGAAGCTACAAAACTATGATGCACAGTTACTCTGTTGTCCTTTTCTTTGTTTTTGTTTATTTGTTTGTTTGTTTGAGGTAGGGTCTTACGCAGTTGAGGCTGTCCTTGAACTCACTATGGTGCCCAGGCTGGCATTATGGCAATCCTCCTGCCTCAGCCTCCTGAGTGCTGGAGTGACAGACGTGTGCCACCATACCCAGCCTCTTTCACTGATTTAATTTTACAGGTTTTACATTCAGAAGTTTGCCTGGGAATTTATGTCAGGTGCCCTGAAATAACTATAGGGTGCCTGCCTACTTGCATATCTCACCTCAGATTTAAGAGCTGGTTTTTCTTAATTCCCCTCAACTAATGATTTCTCCTCCTCCCTCCCCACCTTTCTCCTTCCCTGAACACTGAACCCATGCAAACAGGGTGAGTGTTCCACCACTGAGCTGCACCAGGTTAATGATTCCCCCTATAAAAAATAATCACTTTCATAACAGCAGTGTGAAAACAGATGTATAATTAAAACAGCTACAGACTCATCAATGAAATGACCACTTTTTTGTTAGCTTTTAAATCTAACCCAAGCTACAATTAGGAATTTTTACATAGTAATTCATATTCTTAGGATTTTTAATCCTAATCTTTTTTTTCTTTTTTATCGGTACTGGGGATTGAGCTCGAGACTGCCTGCTTGCAAGGCAGGTGCTTATGCCACTAAGCTAAATCTCCAGCCCCTTTTAATCCTAATCTTTAGGATTTGTCCCTATATTTGATTTCAATGAATGGAAAACACTAAATTCCTGTCTAATGTAACTGGAAGTTTTTTTCTTGTTTTCTTTTTCTTTCTTTCCTTTTTTTTTTTTTTTTAAACACTGCAGTGCTGCCATCTTGAAACCATGGCCTTATTTTTATTTTTGTTTTTGTTTTTATTTGTCCATGTTTGCAGGACTTAGTGATTACACTCATCATGAGGAGTTGCCGTGGGGCGATAGCACACCTCAGTGCTTTTCTCAGGCTTCCTCCTCTATCTCCTGGTCTCCTGAACAGGGAATTTTCTATTAGTGAAAAGACAGGAAAGGAGAAAGCGCAGCACCAGGCGACCCTAGACACCCAGGCCCGAGCCCTGTGCTTGAGGTGACCTGAATAGCAGTGACCAGCGGGATGTCTCTGCACAACCTGCACAGCAGTGCCCTGGGGAGGGAGGCTTCCCATCTGGAACCTTCTCACCACTTTGCCTGGGGTCTCTCCCAAACACTCAGTCCCACATGTAGCCAGGCATCAGCACCCCGTCTAGCTCTTGGGGTGCACACACTGCTGGTTATGGAGCCCACCTCAGAAGTCATCGCAAGAGAGGCAGCCTGCAGTGATGAAGCCCTGATGTGAACTCCGGGGTGTGGGTCCTGTGGGGGTGCTTCAAATAAGGAAGTCATGCCATTTCATAAACTTTAACTGCTAGTTCATTAAAGCTTTGGAGGAGTATTGGCCTTGAATCTTCTGAAGTCCTTGTAAAATTCACCAGTGAGGGAAGGGACCAACATGGCAGAGCAGCGACCAGCAGAGAGAACAGAGTTGCCTTCCAGATGCTGGAATATAGCATCGTGAGGAAGAGAAGGAGGGCAGGATCCAGGGAGAATCTGAAGTGTAAATTGAGGCTCACAGAGAGTAAAGAGAAAAGCATCAACAAAGAGGAAAGTAACTGGCGGCGCCTTCTCCATGAGGTGGGACTCCCTGCATGAGAGAAGTGGTTTGATCCTGCAGACACATGGGGTCACAGTGACAGTGACAGCAGGTGACCCTTAAGGGCTTTGCAGAGAGACATAGCAGTGGAGGGCTGCAGTGGACCTGAAGCACTGCACTGGCTGGCGGTGAGTGCAGAGGACTCAGTCCTCCCTCGGGAGAGAGTGACTAGCCGGGGGCCACTTTGGAGATGGGCCAGCAGAGCTCAGAACCCAGAACTGCCAGCGTCTTCATCTAGCAGCTCCCAGCTGGGCTCAGACCATGGAAATTGCTTGGACAGCAGAGAGACCAATGTGTCTGGCTGCAGGACAGGCCTGCTTCGATTATCCACTACCCAGCCAAAAAGCTACTGCTGTCCTGCTGGGAGAGATCTGCACAAATTGGACTCTGTCCCCACAGGTTGTCTACTAGTGAAACCAGAGAGAACCCTGGAAGTGGGCTTTATTTTTTTCCTCTTTGTTCTTCATGGTTTGATCTTGCTTTTACATGGGTGTGAACCTATAAAGGAAAGCCCATCAGAATCACAGCTGACTTCTCAATACAAATTCTCAAGTCAAGGAGAGCTTGGAGTGAAATATCCCAAGTTCTAAAGGAAAATATTTTTCAACCTAGATTGATGTAACCAGCAAAATTATCTTTCAAAACTGATGGAGAAATAAGATACTTTGATGAAGAACATCTGAGCCCACCAAACCAACACTCCAAAATGTTCTGAAGGACATTCTAGAAAAAGAAAATAAGAATTCCAGCTCCAGCAGAAGGAATCCACTAGGCAAGGCAAATGGGGAGAGGGGGGGAAAGGCTGAAGCCAGCAACAGGAAAATAGCATGCAACATAAGTCAATACATATCAGTTATAACCATCAATGTTGATAGTCTCAATTCACCAATCAAATACATAGACTGGCAGAATGGATCAAGAAGCCAGGCCAGGGGTTTAGCTCAGCAGCATAACTGCCTGCTTGGCAAAAGCGAGGTCAGCAGCAAAAAAAAAAAAAAAAAAAAAAAGCAAGATCCAACAATATGCTACTTACAAGAAACACATTTAATTCAAAATGAAATCCATAGACTGAAAGTCAAAGCATAGAAAACAATACTCCATGCAACAGGAACCCAGAAAAAAGCAGTGGTAGCTGTTCTATTTGCAGACAAAGTGAATTTCAAGCCAAGGATGATTAAAAGAGATAAAGAAGGTCACTACATCCTAGTAAAGGGAACAATCCGGGCTGGGGATTTAGCTCAGTGGCATAAGCGCCTGCCTTGCAAGCAGGCAGTCATGAGTTCAATCCCTGGTACTGATAAAAAAGAAAAAGACAAAAAAAGGAAACAATCCAGGAAGAAGAGATAACAATCACAAATATATATGCACC